GCAGGAGGAGGTTCTATGGGGGGCCGCAGGAGGAGGTTCTATGGGGGGCCGCAGGAGGAGGTTCCTTGCGGGGCCACTGGAGCAGAGATGTTGTTCTGGCTTCAGCTTCTGCAGATCAGGTGTCCCCCAGTGTCTCCCAGTTTAGGAGGCGGAACTGGAAACTCCCATCAGGTTCTCTGCTTGGTTTCTAATCTCAGAACTGGTCTGAACTGGACCTGCTGTTCAAGTTTGACATAAAGTTACTCTTGATCCGTCTACAGACACTGAAATGAAAGATTTGCTGCAAGAACGACAACCTCAGAGCAGAAATAAACATTAAATAAGAACTCTTTCCATTAAAGATGGCCGACTTTGGCTGTCAATCCTGTTCTAGCTTCACTTGGTTCTGATTCTGTGGAACAGAATCTCCTCTAAAGCGCCATCGGCTGTTTGACTGATGATCAAATGATCCAGAACGGATGGATGGAGGAACTGATCAGTAAAATCGTTTATAGATTCAGTTCTAGTTCAGGTTCTGGGGGGAGGAGGTTCTCTGCAGCTGCAGGTGGAGATGATCAAACATAATAAACCTGTCAGAACCTGCAGCTCTCCTATCAGCTTAGGAAACTGGGTCAGAGGAACATCTCTGATGTTCTGGCAGGTCCAGCTAAAGGCTGGAGGCTCCAGGTCCTCCTCTGGTTCTTTGTTGCAGAACCAGCAGGTCCGGTTCTCCTCAGAACATCTGGTTCCTGTGAGGTTCCTCAGCAGCCTTCGTTGGTCTCTCCATCGGCTCTTCAGATCAGGTCCCTCTAATTGTTCCCATCATGCCCTGGGGTTGGACTGGCAGCCTAGAAGATTCTGAGGAGATATGAGCTCCTCTTCCTCCTGCTGAAGGAGGAAGAGGGAGGAGGCTGTAAACAGCAGATAAGGAGGGGCGGAAGTCCATCCTCCATCAGGCAGCAACCATCTGGCTTTGTTCTCCAGCGTCCTGCTGCTCAGACAGAAGCTGTTGACCCGTCTGTTCCCCAGAACTCTGACCCGATGGAACCTCTGGCTGCCCCGAAACGGACCGAGTCCGAGTTGTTTAGAAGAACCTGGAGGTTCCATGGATGTTCCTCCTGATGGACTGAGGCCTCCTCAGATGAGGACGGTTTATTGGAACCACAGCTGGACCTGGACCGGAACCACAGCCGGACCTGGACCGGAACCACAGCCGGACCTGGACCGGAAACCACAGCCGGACCTGGACCGGAAACCACAGCCGGACCTGGACCGGAAACCACAGCCGGACCTGGACCGGAACCAAAGCAGGACCTGGACCGGAACCACAGCCGGACCTGGACCGGAACCACAGCCGGACCTGGACCGGAACCCACAGCCGGACCTGGACCGGAAACCACAGCCGGACCTGGACCGGAAACCACAGCCGGACCTGGACCGGAAACCACAGCCGGACCTGGACCGGAAACCACAGCCGGACCTG